GGTGAGGAGCTCTGTTCTTCTTCTTCTTCCTGCTATCATAGAGGAAGGCCAGGAAGAGGTAGTATGCGTAGGCTAGCTGCCACCTCAGAAAGTGGAAGACGAAGGCAGCGAGAAGAGTTAGCAAAGTCAGACAAGTGCTGCAAATGAAGCAGAGGAAGCCGACGTCCATCCAACAGGACTGGATGTCAAAGTCCAGCAACTTGTTTCCTTGCTCCACCACAGGAAAGGAACAGGTGTACATATGGGCGTTAACAACCTGAGTTTGGTTGTTGTTCTTCACCCATTGGATAAAGCCGGCGTTAGAGCAGTCACAGGTGAAAGGATTATTGTCCAGGTCCAGATATGTGAGTGCAGGGAGAGACTGGAAGACCGTCTCGTTGATCACTGTAATGTCATTGTCACTCAGTTTTAAAAATGTGAGTGCAGACAGGTCGGCCTGGGCCAGAAAATCCAAAGATTTGAGCTTACTGTAAGAGAGATCGAGAGCCTGCAGGTTTGGGATTGGCTGAAACAGTTCAGGACCCAAATCTGACAAATCATTCTGACTGAGTGTCAGATGCTTGAGCTGGGGATTGTTTCTAAATGTGTCAGGATCTGGAGCGGAAATATATAAATTCTCAGCTGTAAGGTCCTCTAAATGTCTCATAGACGCCAGAACTGTCTGTGGTATATCAAAGGGGAAGCCAGCGTGTTCACCCAAGCACATCATTGTCAAAACTTTCAAAGATTTTAAATGGAACAAAGCTTTATAGAAGTTTGAATGAGGACTTTTAAAACTGCTGTCAATATCAAAGTAGACTGTGAGATTTTCCAATTGTTGTAAACCTCTGAATTTATTTTCAAACTCAAGTGGAAGAGACACTTTAAGAGTTCTGAGACTGTTTAGTCCTTGAAAAGGCTGAGCTTTCACCAATCCAATATTTGATAATTCCAGATCCAAATATTTTAGGGAACCTAAACCTTTAAAATCCCCCTTTTCAAGAGTAGCTATATAGTTTTGGTTCAAATCCAAGAACTCAAGCTTCTGCAGTCCTGTTTTGAAGGCACCTCCAAATGTACACACCAAGTTGTTACTCATATCTAAAACCTTCAGATCATTAAGATTTTCAAAGACACACCTGTCCAGTTTGGCAATGCGGTTTTTGTCCAGATGCAGCTCTGTAAGTCGCGTTGTGTTTATGAAATCCTCACATGCCAACTCAGAGATACGATTGGCACTAAGACGTAGAACCTCGAGGGAGGAGAGACTTCTAATGTCATCTGGCACTTTGGTGAGACCGTTGGCGTCTAGAATTAGGGACCTCAGTCTCTTCATCAATCGCCCTGAGCCTTTAGGCAGTTCACTCGTGTTAGTGTTGGACAAGTCGAGCTCATTAAGCTGAGAGCAAGTTACAAGTTTTGAACTTAATTTGGGAACACTGTTGTAAGACACATCCAGCCTCCTTAGTGTCGGTATTTTGCACACTGTAGCTAAGAGACCTTTCTGGATAGACGTCTCCATATAATTCAGCCTCAGATGCATCAGTGAGTCAAGACTCTGCAGGACTTTTTGGATCTCTTCAAAAGGAATCAAAGTGCCGCTGAAATCCAGCTGAGTTATGTTCCTTAGTAAAGTCTTGTCAGGTATGTCCCATTTCAAGCCAGCAGCTTGGCCACTTCCAGAAAGGTCTATCATCTCAAGGTGAGGAAAGATCTGTGTTGTGATGCTGAACTTTTCTAACTTAGCATTATCAGAAACATTTAACACCTTCAGTCCTGAGGACCTGTTCAGCAGCAGATCTTTGGTCTGAAAGGAGGTAAATAGATTTCCTCCAATGTTCAGCTCCTGTAGGTGTGGTAGCTGTAAGATGGGCTGAATGTCAGTGACTTGTTGGAGCTTGTTGTTTTCTAGAATCACAGTCTGTAAGCTGGACAGGAACTGGAAGGCCGAGGAATGAATGAACTGAATGTTGTTTCCTCCGAGGTCAAGCGTGGTGAGGTTGGACAGTCCCTGAAAGATGTTGCCTGTCAGCCTGGTGAGTTTGTTTTCATTCATGTAGAGGTTTGTCAGTGCCACCAAATTAGTGAAAGATCCATCGTCTACATGAGCAATCTGATTTGAGTCTAGGGACAAAATTCTCAGCTTTGACAAGTGGCCAAAATCTTGCCTGTTAATCTGTTCAAGCTGATTGTTGGAGAGTTTTACTGAGCTTGCATCTCTGGGGATGTCATCAGGGACAGTAACAAGTTCACGACCTGAGCAGTCCAAAGAAACATCAGCCGAGGCGTCTTCAGAATAACTGATGACGCAGCCTTTCAGTGAATAAGCCAGTGAAGAGTTAAGATGAAGCAGGAGACACAAAAGCAAGAGAAGACGTCTCTGTATTAAGTATGCTGACATGCTGATCTTTAGGACCACGGCTGGTTTGATTGTTGAGTTACTGTCAGGTGGAGATTTGTTGCTGTTAATGTTGTTCAGGGGTGAACATCTGGAGAGGACAACACAACACGTTGCACAACATGACTTCATCCCTTAAACCAATAGTTTAACATGTTGGGAAATGTGCTTGATTGACACCATGGTCAAGTCTTTGGTTAAATATAAAACTATATCAAAGAGACTGTTAGCTTAGCTTTTATTATTGATTAATCTTTCCATTACTTTTATCAATTGTTTGATCCTTTATATAACAGAAAATGAAACATGTCCATGCAATTTGCTGAAGTACAATATTTTTGATTCTAGTGCATTCTAGAAAAATCCTAAAACAAGACAAACTGTATTAGGAACTTGAAGAAATACAATAGATTACCATGTTACCAGATTCCCCCCTTAGCCATGTCTTTAATTCCAAGACTACTAAACTTACTAAATTAGAGTTACTGAATTATTAAAATGATTAAAAAAACTGAGGGGTGGGAGATGTTGAAGAAAAGTCAAATTGTAACATTTACCAAAACACATTTTTCTAATAAGCTACTCACAGTTCATCTTTAGAGCGTCGCCTCTCAGCCATCAGAGCTTACGACTGAAAACCGAGCCTTTGTTTCAGTTCTTGTATTTCCACAACAGCAGCAGAGGAGGTGAGGTGAAGGTTAATACTCACATCTGACAGAATCCTTTCCTTTTATTATTGAATTATCTCTTCAATCTCAAAAGAACGATGACAAGCATTTGCAAAAGGAAGAGAAAAGTTTTTTGGAACTGAAACGCTACAGCAAGTGTCCAGCGAGCTGATAACAGATTCTGCTTCTGTGTTTGTCACAGCAAAGTGATGTTGACAGAGAAACAGCATAAATAAACTATTCTTAGTCTGATTTAAATACTGACAGGAAGCTGATAGACACGTGTTTAAAGCTGATTTAACACTGACTGAGCGTAATCTGAAAGTATCATGGTTGCAGCACACTTTAGGCAGGTGTGGAAAAAATGCTGTCAGGCAAGAATGCTTTCAAAATTAGACATTTTAAAAGATTATATTTAACAATGAACAAAATACGAAATGAGTGAACAGATGAAAAATAAATCAATTCAACAGGCTGAAACACAATCATTAACTGAAACAGAAACAGCTGTGTGGGAGGAATATAACTTGGTGACGAACAGCCAAACTCAGCCAACAAGGTGAGGCTGCTGAAGACAGTTTACTGTAGGAAGTCATCCACCGTGGCAAGACTGAGCACAGCAACAAGACACTTGATGGTTAGTCTCCAATTTGTTAATGGCAGGTACGAACTTGTCAGTGGTCATAACCGTTCATGCATAACAATGAGTTCAACATTCTAAAAGTTTGCTGAAGCACATTATCCATTTATTAATGGTTAATTGTTCCTCACAGCAGGTTGAGGCAGAGTTCACTACAGCTTCTACAACCCTTTGATAGGGATTGATTTTTTAAGGTTGATACTGACTCTCATGTTGGGCACAAGGCCGCTGATGTCTACAGTACCATTTTAAATTTGAGAAGTACTATGCAAGTAAAAATAATTCTGGTCTACACCACAAGCTTCTCCAAAACCATTGAAGCATGCTTGATGAAGACAGTACGTCATCAGGCACGTGTAAGTGAATCTATCACAGAGAGCTGAAATAAAGAGATGTGAAACCCCTCAGTGCGATGCAAAGACTGTAAAAATAACTGTACTGTATCTGCTCTGCATTCACAACATCTCTGACAGAAAAAATATAAGAGAAAGAGGAAGAGAGGACGACAAGACAAACCAAAAAAAATTGCTAAAAGCTGTTTCAAGCAATTACCCCCGAATATTTAAAGTGACCTCGATGCAGTACACCGTACAGTACCGGTTCTTGTGGTTGTGGTGTCCGAACAATAATGCTGCGATGATGTGTTGAGAGGAAACCCGCTTGACACTGTTCTTGATCATAAAAGTTTATTAAATCAAGGAGTTCAGCATCAATTACAAGCTCTGCAGCAGCTTGGAGAGTGACCCAGCCCGATGGCCACTCTGTCTCTCTGTACATCAAACACAGCTTATATAGGACATGTTTAGGTATCTGTTAGGTACCAGAGAAGGGTTTGAGTCTGCAAAATAAAGCTCCAACCCATAGAAGGGTACAGTACTATTCTGAGATAACAAAACAAGGGGTTAGAGGTCAAATTCTATAGAAGGGTTCAGTCCCTACATAACCACCAATCACTGCTCTCCCTGTAGAAGGTCACTGACCCTCTGTCCTGCTGCTACAGTGCTATTTTGAACTGTTATGAGTCAAATGCACATATATTGGACACCACATGGTCAACTAAAAGAACCATTAAGTTGGCTGCACAGCTAACTGAGCAAAGTAGCTAACGGTAGTTAGCAGCAGTTAAGACCTGATCTGTGATATGCTGCCTCTTATTTTTGAAGTAGTATGAATTCAGCATGTGGAGAGAAGTCTCAAGTCTTACCCATTGTACCTTCATCTCAAACAAAACATTGTATTTTCTAAGCTTAGGCCACAGTCCAAATCTGTCGAGGATGTGTGATGAATGATGAAGACAGACAGAGGAAGTGTTTACCTGGTTGGAAGTCTCTGTGGTGCAGACAGAGCCTCCAGCCCTGCTCTCCTTCCAGCACTGGAAGCATCTCTCTGTAAACCCAGGCCTCGTCGTGAACGTTGTAGGAGATGAAGGCGTCGTATTGGTGAGGAGCTCTGTTCTTCTTCTTCTTCCTGCTATCATAGAGGAAGGCCAGGAAGAGGTAGTATGCGTAGGCTAGCTGCCACCTCAGAAAGTGGAAGACGAAGGCAGCGAGAAGAGTTAGCAAAGTCAGACAAGTGCTGCAAATGAAGCAGAGGAAGCCGACGTCCATCCAACAGGACTGGATGTCAAAGTCCAGCAACTTGTTTCCTTGCTCCACCACAGGAAAGGAACAGGTGTACATATGGGCGTTAACAACCTGAGTTTGGTTGTTGTTCTTCACCCATTGGATAAAGCCGGCATTAGAGCAGTCACAGGTGAAAGGATTATTGTCCAGGTCCAGATATGTGAGTGCAGGGAGAGACTGGAAGACCGTCTCACTGATCACTGTAATCTTACTGTTACTCAGTTTTAAAAATGTGAGTGCAGACAGGTCGGCCTGGGCCAGAAAATCCAAAGATTTGAGCTTACTGTAAGAGAGATCGAGAGCCTGCAGGTTTGGGATTGGCTGAAACAGTTCAGGACCCAAATCTGACAAGTCATTCTGACTGAGTGTCAGACGCTTGAGCTGGGGATTGTTTCTAAATGTGTTGGGATCTGGAGCAGAAATATATAAATTCTCAGCTGTGAAGTCCTCTAAATGTCTCATAGCCTGAAGAATATCCATCAGTATTTCAAAGGGGAAGCCAGAGTGATCACCTGTGTATATTATTTTGAAAAGTTTCAAAGATTTTAACTGGAACAAATCTTTATAGAAGTTTGAATGAGGACTTTTGAAACTGCCAACAATATCAAAGTAGACTGTGAGTTTTTCCAACTGTTGTAAACCTCTGAATTTATTTTCAAATTCGAGTGGTAGAGACACTTGAAGAGTTCCGAGGTTGTTCAATCCATCAAAAGCGTTACTTTTCACACTTCCAACATGTTTTGATGCCAGATCCAAATATTTTAGGGAACCTAAACCTTTAAAATCCCCCTTTTCAAGAGTAGATGCAAAGTGTTTGTTCAAATTCAAGAACTCAAGCTTCTGCAGTCCTGTTTTGAAGGCACCTCCAAATGTCCACAGCAAGTTGTTACTCATATCTAAAACCTTCAGATCATTAAGATTTTCAAAGACACACCTGTCCAGTTTGGCAATGTGGTTTATGTCCAGATAGAGCTCTGTAAGTCGCGTTGTGTTTATGAAATCATCACATGTCAACTCAGTGATAATATTGGCACTAAGACTTAGAACCTCGAGGGAGGAGAGACTCCTAATGTCATCTGGCACTTTGGTGAGAAAGTTGAAGTCTAGAGTTAGGGACCTCAGACTCTTCATCAATCTCATTGAGCCTTTAGGCAGTTCAGTCATGTATGTATCGGTCAAGTCGAGCTCATTAAGCTGAGAGCAAGTTACAAGTTTTGAACTTAATTTGGGAACACGGTTGTACAACAGATCCAGCCTCCTTAGTGTCGGTATTTTGCACACTGTAGCTAAGAGACCTTTCTGGATAAATGTCTTTATATGATTCAGTCTCAGATGCATCAGTGAGTCAAGACTCTGCAGGACTTTTTGGATCTCTTCAAAAGGAATCAAAGTGCCGCTGAAATCCAGCTGAGTTATGTTCCTTAGTAAAGTCTTGTCAGGTATGTCCCATTTCCAGCCAGCAGCTCGACCACTTCCAGAAAGGTCTATCATCTCAAGGTGAGGAAAGATCTGTGTTGTGATGCTGAACTTTTCTAACTTAGCATTATCAGAAACATTTAACACCTTCAGTCCTGAGGACACGTTCAGCAGCAGATCTTTGGTCTGAAAGGAGGTAAATAGATTTCCTCCAATGTTCAGCTCCTGTAGGTGTGGTAGCTGTAAGATGGGCTGAATGTCAGTGACTTGTTGGAGATTGTTGTTTTCTAGAATCACAGTCTGTAAGCTGGACAGGAACTGGAAGGCCGAGGAATGAATGAACTGAATGTTGTTTCCTTCGAGGGCAAGCGTGGTGAGGTTGGACAGTCCCTGAAAGATGTTGCCTGTCAGCCTGGTGAGTTTGTTTTCATTCATGTAGAGGTTTGTCAGTGCCACCAAATTAGTGAAAGATCCATCGTCTACATGAGCAATCTGATTTGAGTCTAGGGACAAATTTCTCAGCTTTGACAAGTGGCCAAAATCTTGCCTGTTAATCTGTTCAAGCTGATTGGCTAAAAGTAGTACTGAGCTTGCATCTCTGGGGATGTCATCAGGGACAGTAACAAGTTCACGACCTGAGCAATCCAAAGAAACATCAGCCGAGGCGTCTTCAGAATAACTGATGACGCAGCCTTTCAGTGAATAAGCCAGTGAAGAGTTAAGATGAAGCAGGAGACACAAAAGCAAGAGAAGACGTCTCTGTATTAAGTATGCTGACATGCTGATCTTTAGGACCACGGCTGGTTTGATTGTTGAGTTACTGTCAGGTGGAGATTTGTTGCTGTTAATGTTGTTCAGGGGTGAACATCTGGAGAGGACAACACAACACGTTGCACAACATGACTTCATCCCTTAAACCAATAGTTTTACATTGTGGGAAATGAGCTTGATTGACACCACTCACTGTCTGTGCAGTAAACATGAAGCTACGTCCAAGAGACAGTTAGCTTAGCTTTTATTTTTAACTTCTTTGATCAATTGTTTGATCCTTCAAATGTCAGAAAACAAAGTCAGTAAAGTAAATCTTTAAGTCTGAGACTAATTAACTATGAAATTATTAAATATTTTTAAGGGTGGTGGGGCGTGTTGCTAAAGAAATTAAAGTTGTATTTTAACACACATAGTGCAGGTAAATAACAGATAAATACATCTTCTTATACTCACAGTTCATCTTTAGAGAATCACCTCTCAGCTGTCAGAGCTCACCACTGAACACAGAGGCTTCCTTTTACTTCTAATATTTCCACGATAGCAGCAGAGGTGTTGAGGTGAAGGTTAATACTCACGTCTAACAGCAGTTGGTTCACTTCTTTTTATCATTAAATTATTTCCTCGCTCTCAAAAACAAAAAGACAAGCATCTGTAATAAGATGAGAAGATTTTCTGGAACTGAAACGCTGCAGCAAGTGTCCAGTGAGCTGTTAACAGATTCTGCTTCTGTGTTTGTCACAGCAAAGTGATGCTCGCAGACAGATATGGCATGAAGTTATTGTTAGTCTGATTTAAATACAGGAAGCAGATGAATCATCTTTAAACACGTGTCTAACACTGAGAGAGCGTAACCTGAAAGTATCAAGTTTGACGTTAAGAAAGGCTCGGTGGGTATCACTGTCGCAGTCCACAACATAGATACAGATTGTATTTTCTTAATTGATAAATTTAAACTGAATTAAGAAAAATAATGTAGGCATATTGTGAGAGGTATGATTAAACAATTATTGTTGAAAAAGACGCTTTGGTCGACATGGGCCCTCAGACAGTAACCTCATGTCACAGCCACACACACAGGCTAAACTTTGCGAGAGTCTTTCCTGAGGCGTCCACCAAAGAAGCACCTACAGGGTCTTAAAATCAGGAGAAAGCCTAATGGCAGGATAGAGATCAGTGCAGTTTGGCAGCAGTGTTTCATCAGAAAAGTCCGCCAAAAGAGAGCACTCAGGCTCCGTCAGATTCTCTTTCCAGTGTTTCAGTAGCTGACTTGTGACTCTTGGAGACCTTAATCGAAGCCGATCAGCTAATCCAACAGGGTCGTCCAACCGAGGCCCAGCTAGCTCCACCACCTTCCCCAGAGTAGAAACCCCTGCAGTGTGAAGACGTCTGGATAGCGTGGACAATCCAACAGTCCTCCAAACCGCACAGGCTCTTGTAGGAGTCAGTACAGAGAGTCAGTCTGCTGCTGCCTCTGCTTCCTTAGCAAAGTCCACACTGAGAAAACACTCCTGTAAAAAGCTGGTAGAGATGATGTGCTCAACCCCTTACAGTCTGTCAAAAACAAAGATAGATTCATCCGTAGACCACCAAACCGCTGCAGGATGCAGCAGGGAAAAGGTCTCCAGACCAGGTCTGTCGGCCCAGTGAGCAGTCTGACGGAAGGCAGTGCCTCTGCTGGCCAGATGGACTAGACCCTGTCCACCCTCCTCCTTAGGAAGGAACAGGACACTCTGAGGTACCCAATGCAACCTGTCCCAGAAGAAATCAACTAAAACCATTTGGATCTGTACCAGAAGAGAAGCTGGGGGATCAATGCAAGCCAACCGGTGCCACAGAGTAGAAGAGACCAGATTATTGATTACAAGAGTGCAACCTTTGTAGGACAAATTAGGTAAGAGCCATTTCCATTTCATGAGCCGACCTTTAACCTTTTCCAAGACATTGTCCCAGTTTTTCTGCAAAAACATTTCAGTTCCCAGAAAAACTCCCAGATATTTCAGTCCTCCTTTTTTCCCCACAACAAACCTCCAGGTAACCTGAGCCGATCCCTCAGCCTTTCCCCCACCATGACAGCCTCACTCTTCCCCCAGTTTACTTTAGCAGAGGATATGCAGCCAAACAGATTTACAGAGTTTACTAACATATCAACGTCTTTCTGTGTGTTAACCAGCACATCATCAGCATACGCCGACAGTTTGAAAGAGACATCACAGTTTGGAAAACAGACACCACTCAGATCGTTTCTTAGTTTATGGAGCAGAGGCTCAGTAGCCAGAGAATAGAGCATGCCAGACAGAGGGCAGCCTTGTCTGACCCCCCTCTGAACATTGAAAAGAGCACTCAGACCCCCATAAATTTTTAGAACACTTGCAATGTCACTATACAGAACCTGGATCTTGGCTATAAAGCCTGAGCTGAACCCAAAGGCAAATAGAATTTGCCATAGATACTGGTGTTCAACCTGGTCAAAAGCCTTTTCCTGATCTATGGAAATCAGACCAGTATCTACAGCCAATGAGCTAGAGACCTCCAGAACATCACGAATTAGTGACATTGTCACTTATGAGCCTGCCGGGCACACAGTATGTCTGATCAGTATGGACAACAGCAGCCCTCACCTCTCAAAGTCTGGTGGCCAGGACCTTGGACAGTATTTTATGGTCTGTGCAGAGCAGGGAAACTGGTCTCCAGTTCTTCAGCTCCTGCAGGTCTCCCTTCTTGGGCAGCAAAGTGATGACCTCTCTCCAGGCTGTCTGTGACAACCTCCGGCAAGCCTTCACCCAACACCGACCAAAAGGACTTGTAAAAATTGAGGGAAACACGAGCTTCCAACTTTACATTGGCCTCAACATCCACCTGAGGAAGACCAGTGAAGAAGCTGCTCCACAAACCTGGATTTTCTGTCAGTTCACACGTAAACAGATCTTTATAATAGCTGGCTGCAAGTTTCCTAATCTCAGAAGAGTCTGAGATTTCAGAGCCACTGTCAGATCGCAGAGAGTGAACAATTTTTCTCCGTCCATTTTTCCTCTCCAGACCAAAAAAAAACTGAGAGGGGGCATCTACTGTATCTGTGTGACGTCGAGGAAGCGTGATCTGACCATAGCTCCCTGTGCTGCAGTGCCCAGCAGGTTGGACAGAGCCGACTTTTTTAGATTTAAGGGAGTCTAAAAGCACTCGATCTCCTGTAGAATCTACCAAACCCTGCAGTTCCACCACCTGAGCCTCCAGGTCCCTCATAGATCTGGTTACATCTCTAGTGACATTGCAAGTGAACTGTTGACACAACTGCTTAATCTGAGATTTACCAAAATCCCACCACTGTTGAACACATGTGAAATTGGATTTACAAATTCTGTGGTTAACCCAGAAATATTCAAAGGCTGCTCTAAAAGCCTTGTCATTAAGCAGGGCCATGTTAAAATGCCAATAAGAGCTTTTTAGACAGACGTCCTTTGTAAAAACCTTGGAGGAGAGGATGCGGTGACTGGCGGCCCGGCGGGGAGCTAAGGTGGAACCGGACGAAGTCTAAAGCGATATGGGACCAGGGGCGACCGGGGACCGGGAGGGGGTGGAGCAGACCTGCGGGCAGCTGATGGGAGCGCTTGGCATGGGCGCACACCTCACAGGCGGCCACAAAGGATCGTCAGTCCTTATCCATGGAGGGCCACCAGAACTGCTGGCTAAGTAGGAAGAGGGTGCGGGCCATCCCGGAGTGGCAACTGAATCTGGAGGCGTTCGGCCATTGGAGAACCTGGGAGTGGACGCTTGACGGGACATAGAGGCGATTAGGGGGCTTGAGTCTGGGACCGGGTTCAATGGACTGGGCGCGGCGGACAGCGGATTCCACCTCCCAGACCACAGAGGCGACGAGGCAGGTGTGGGGTAGGATGGTGTTGGGGGGGTCCGGGGGAGTGTCCGAGGAATAGAGCCGGGAGAGGGCGTCTGGTTTAGCGTTTCGGGATCCAGGGCGGTAGGAGAGGGAGAAATTGAACCTATTGAAGAACAGGGCCCACCGGGCCTGGCGGGAGTTTAATCTTTTAGCGGTTTGGATATAGGAAAGATTTTTGTGATCTATCAGAACTAGGAAAGGGTGTTCAGCCCACTCTAGCCAGTGCCTCCACTCCTCCAGGGCCAGCTTAACAGCCAGTAGTTCTCGCGCGGAGCCCCCCCTTCAATAATGAAACTGAGGGAATGGACAGAGGGTGTGTGAAATTCACATTTCTCTGCTTTAACGAAAAGCCTGTTCTCCAGAAGCCGCTGCAGGACCAGATGAACATGTTCTGTGTGTTGGGCAGGGTCGCGGGAGAAGATCAGGATATCGTCAAGATACACGAAAACAAAGCGGTGGAGAAAGTCACGGAGGACGTCGCTGACTAAAGCTTGGAAAACCGCAGGGGCTTGGGAAGGCCAAAGGGCATGACTAAGTACTCGTAGTGACCGAGGGGTGTGTTTTCCATTCATCCCCCTCCCGGATCTGCACCAGATGGTAGGCATTTCCTAAATCCAGTTTAGTAAAAATGGTGGACCGGGAGAGGGATTAGCGACAGGGCTTGGTCTTTACTAAAAACCGGAGTGAGATCATGGTAGACGTAGGCAACACTGGACAGGTCGGGCCGAATTATCGGGGGCCCGGCAGACAGGAGGCAGGAGGAATGACAAGAAGTACTCCAGTTCCTGATCTTCCCCCACGACCAGTCGATATTGGGGTTATGAGCGATTAACCAGGGAAGACCAAGAACCAGAGGAGTGGCAGGGGAAGAGATCAGGTGAAGGGCGAGGGACTCGTGGCGATTGCCGGAGGTGATAAGTGGTAACCGGGGAGTACGGTGGGTGACGGTGGTGAGAGGCTGGCCGTTTAGGCCCGTGGCGTGAAGAGGGGTATCTAAGGGGACCTGTGGGATCTTGAGCTGGCGAGCTATTTCGCGGTCCAAGAAATTCTCGTCCTCGCCCGAGTCAATCACGGCCCCAAGAGGAAGGGTGACATTCCCCCAGGAAATAGAGGCATCAAGCAAGACTCGGTGGTTGGGAGAGCAGGTGCTTTGGGGCGCACGGGGCAGGCGGACAAGAAGTGACCAGGTTTACCACAGTAGAAACACTCTGTGGCAAGGCGGCGACGTTCGCGTTCCTCCGGGGAGAGGTGAGTGCGGTGTAGCTGCATGGGTTCGGGAGACGGTGATCTCAGAGCCACTGTCAGATCGCAGAGAGTGAACAATTTTACTCCATCCATTTTTCCTCTCCAGACCAAAAAAAAGGGGCACTCAGTCTGTTTATTCTGCTCTTTGTTTGACCCCGTCTCTGTAACGCTGTCAGCTTGCTGACTATCACCACTAGAGCATACAGGGGGGTCCCCCTCCTCGGGAGCCTGGCCAGGGTGGTGTACAGCCCCGGTAGGTTCCGTCTCCGGAGCCGATCACTCCCCCGCGGGAGCTGGGACCGGAACCCCGACACCGCCTCTCCAGCAACATCAGCGGGCCGCTGCTCCCCCCTTCTCTCTGGGCAGGAACGAATCAAATGCCTTTCCACACCACAACCAAAGCCCTTCATGGTCTCTGACGAGGCAAAAACCATGTAACTAAACCCGTCTACTTTAAAGTTAAAAGACAGACTGAGATCATCAGTGTTATCTAGAACCATGAAAACCTGCCTCCGGTGACACACAACATGTTTGAGCAAAGGGGATCTGCAGCCCAACTAAACCATTCTGTCCGTACCGAGACAGCTCTTTTGTCAGCATGGCATTAGAAATGACAATCTTTCTTGCCGGACTAACCAGCTGGAGAACGGGACTGAGAGTTTCATGAATAACTACACCTGTTTCGACCACATCACTAACTTTGGCCGTCCTGTTCAAAAATATAACAATGGCTCCATTCATACGGGAGGCAGACTTCACGCTACCGCAGCCCACCACCTCTCCAACCGCTAAACTGGCCTCCTCTACAGAGCACTGTACTGCCAGCACCAGTTTGATAGCATGACGGCGTGTCATCTTCTCAAACGCTGCAAAGCCAAAAAACACCTGAACATCTAGCAGATAATTTCATCAGGAACTATATGAAACACGGAAGATAAAATGAACATGTAGAGATGTTATTCACTCACTGCACCACACTCTGCAACTTCATGCTCCTGTCACTCTGCCATTCACTGAGAGAGAGAGAGAGAGAGAGAGAGAGAGAGAGAGAGAGAGAGAGAGAGAGCGCACAATATCCACACAAAGAGGTACAGACAGTAAAGGTGATGTTGGTATAGACTAAATGAAAAATGGTACAGATATTTATAGTAGTGTTAATTATAATAATAACAATAATAGGACTAGTAACAATAGTTGTTAACCACAGATCCAGACTCCAGAGCCAGAAACACCTGCAGGAAGTGATAGGAGGAGAGGGGGACGAGAAAGCACAAGACTACCACAAAGGGGAGAAGTTGTGTTAGTAACATGCAATAATGGGATGAGGTTGCATACAGAGGGAGAGAAAGTAGAGGAGAGAGGAGCTCAATGCAAATGGGAAAAGAGCATGTTCAGGTCCAGGACAAGAAATCTGGATGCTTTCTACCCCCCTACCCCACAAAGGGTGCAGGGGGGTGAGAGTGCATCTGTTGTGTCCATGTGCGCTATGCTAATGTCATATGTAGGGCGCACAACCCCCATTCAATGCACTGGTTGGCTTGCCGCAGCTAGGGCGGACAGTCATCCGTCTCCACCCACTGTACCCATAGAGTCCGGTAGAGGGCGGAGCCTGTGTGAGATAGAACGAAGGTTACGATATGTTAACACTAGTTCTATAAGCACCGAGGGCTCCGCCTGTGCATACACACAACACAGATCTTTCCTCACCTTGAGATAATGTCTTTCTGACTTATGAATTTGAATTTGATGCCTGCAATACGTTCCAAAAAAGCTGGGACAAGGGCATGTTTACCGTTGTGTTACATCACCTTTCCTTATAACAACACTCAATAAGCGTTTGGGAACTGAGGAGACTAATTGTTGAAGCTTTGTAGATGGAATTCTTTCCCATTCTTGCTTGATTTACAACTTCAGTTACTCAACAGTCCGGGTACTCCGTTTTGCGCTTCATAATGCGCCACACATTTTCAATGGGAGACAGATCTGGACTGCAGGCAGGGCAGTCTGGTATCCGCACTCTTTCACTACGAAGCCACGCTGTTGTAACACGTGCAGAATGTGCCATGGCATTGTCTTACTGAAAAAAACAGGGACGTCCCTGACAAAGACGTTGCTCCAAAACCTATGTGTACCTTTCAGCATTAAGGGTGCCTTCACAGAAGTTACCCATGCCATGGGCACTAACACACCCCCATACAATCACAGATGCTGGCTTCTGAACTTTGTATGGATAACAATCCGTCTCTGAATCTTTTGATGATATTATGGACCGTAGATGATGAAATCCCTAAATTCCTGGCAATTGTATGTTGAGAAACGTTGTTCTTAAACTGTTGGGCTATTTGCTCACACAGTTGTTTACAAAGTGGTGAACCTCGCCCCATCCTTGCTTGTGACTGAGCCTTTCGGGGACGCTCCTTTTATACCCAATCATGACACTCACCTGTTTCCAATTAACCTGTTCACCTGTGGAATGTTCCAAACAGGTGGTTTTTGAGCATTCCTCAACTTTCCCAGTCTTTTGTTGGAACGTGTTGCAGGCATCAAATTCAAAGTGTGTGAATATTTATCTGATAAGTTTATCAGTTTAAACATTAAATATCTTGTCTTGGTAGTGTATTAAATTGAATATGGGTTGAAAAGGTTTTGCAAATGAATGTATTCTGGTTTTATAAAACCATCAAATACGAGTCCCGCACCTCGAGTCTGAGGCAAGTCTGAAGTGTTTTTAGGACCAAGTCGAGTCTGAAGTCACTGTGACTTAAGTCTCTAACTCGAGTCCCTATCTCTGCCAGGATTAACTAAGCCTGGCTGTAAGCCTGGTCTGGAGCAGGCTGGCTACACAGAATAAATCACCATGATAACTTATGTGCTACTGCTTTCGTGAAACCGAGTGACGGCAAAATTCAGCCAGGATATCTGGAAAATCCAAGCTTAATCTGCTATCTTGGTTTTGTGAACCCGCCCTCTGCAGTATACAGTATATATACAGTCTCACACACAAAGAGCTTCATAATATAAACATAGAGGATATGAATTAATTAGTACAACAGGAAAACAAATGAGGAACCAAAACTGCAGGAGGTTGTTATGATGCAGTTTATTTAAACAGTACACTTACAGAAACTACAGGGTTAGAGAAAAATTTAAGCAAATCCATTTTTCCTCATTTACGTTTCATTAACTACAGGAGGAACTACAGTAGTTTCAAAAAGAATTAAAATAAAATAGCTACAATCTTTGCACTTTGGAAAAGAAGCTTAGACATCAGATAGAATCAGGAATTTTCAGAAAATCCGATCAACGATAAATCTGCAAAAAAATAAAAGAAACCAAAATGCATGAGCCACTTCCACTGTCTATTTGAGTGGATACACTTAATAAAAATAACAGGAGTTTAGTCCTAATTTTACAGAGAAATAAATAAATATATAATCCATGTCACCATGTCCTACAGAGAAAAAAGACTTCCCTCTAAGTCTGGTAAAAGTGAAGTGAAAACATGATGTAATGCCATTAAAGCAGAAGATAACCACTCACGTACTCGCATGCCCTACTGTGGTCAAGGCAGTTAGCCTCTTTCAGTCCGTTTGAGCTCCTACCCCTCTGACAGCAGTAACTGTTGTCCTGAGTCCACGGTCCGGTTCTGCACTAAGGAGACGCTTTAGGGCCCGTGTCCACCAAAGCGTTTTTCGCCAGCTGAAAACGCCCAGCAGGGAGCGCTATGGGGCGTTTTTTCCGACTGCTTTGGTTGCTATGATACATAAAATCCCCGGAAGTGATGTTGCAAGTAGTTCTACCTGACTTGTCAACACAGAGCAGAGCACTTGCTCTGGGCCTCTCATAGAGATAGTAACCGTTGCTACGGTGTGGTATTTTTCCCGGCCCTTCTCTGCTGTGATTGGACGACTAAGTAAAAAGTGACAGTGATGAGCGCAGTGTTTTCCCGAAGTTGTACATTTTAGACTCTCAGTGACCGTAAAAAAACGCTCAGCGCTCAGCATCCACCGCGAAAAAGACGCTCAGCGCCTCGTCACGCTGCTGCCGTTTTTACCAGCGTGTAAAAACACGGCGCTCCCATTGCAATGAATTGAAAAAAGGAATCAGAAAAACACACTTTGGTGGACACGGGCCCTCAGACTCATTTTCACGCATCACGTTGTTATACGAGCTCTCAGAAACTCCTGCAGGGTAAATTGAACTAACCAAACACGTTTAGGGCTGACTGACAGAAACACTAGAAACTAACCTAACAACAAAGAATAAGAAGAATCTTATAATAAGGGCTTTAAAATAATCAAATACAAGTGATTAAATAATTGACTTTAAGCAATTTCAACCAGTTAAAAGATGAAGGCAGGTAAAGCAAAACACACTAAGGAATATATACTTATTATACTTCAAATAAAATCATGTAGAATCAGTGAAGGCTCTTAAATAAAAGTCTCTTTTAACCAGCGATTTCAAAGAGTTCATTTATTTTAATATTCAGCCGACCTGATTTCCTCGGGTAGACTGCTCTACAAACAACCCATAATGCAACACTTAGTGACACTACATTACAATAGCCTCTTATATTTGGGCTAATAGAACAATGACTCCTCTATCTTCATCATATTTCATTTGAGAGGAGCTAAATATTTTCATGGATTCTGTCTGTCAGATTGTTTTTAACAGTCTAACTTTTCTATTTGGGACAGTTTCAAGCTGGGACTACAGCTTCCATCATGCTTTGGGGGAAAGAAGGAAGTGGAATGTTGTTTTTCTTTAATCCTATTTTTGTTGACATTTTGGAAAATTTCATTACAACTTTATGATTAAAACTCATATTTGACTGAGTTATGACTCTCTGCTTATTCAGCAACTCAATATGTGGTCCCAGCTCAAGAAACTCATTTTCAGGAGAATCTGAATCTCTTATATTTTCTCTTTCTCTTCTTGTTTTTCATTGCAACTGTAAGGAACCTCGCAGGTCCGGTAATATACTCAGCATCCTGCCGGTCCAGTCAGGAGGTCTGCGGTCTCTGTGGGAGCGTCCCCGGTCTCCAGAGCTCTGCTGACGTTCTGCCAGAAGACTCCTTTGTGTTGGCCGGCCTGCGGCCAGCTCAGGTAGGTGCGTCCCTTCACCAGCTTCCTCATGCGGTAGTACGGAGACAGCTGCTGGGCCGGGATCTCCTCCAGAAACAGCAGGATCAGAACGTCCTTGTGCTCGTCAAACAGGCGGAAGCTGCAGCAACACAAACAGGACAGACCGTGAGGACTGAATCGGTCTGAGAGGCTGAAAGCTGCCGTCTACTAGTTTAATTTAACGTTTTATTCATTTACTACTTTATCTTCAAAGGAGTTTATTTGACCTCACCGTTGAAATTCTACATAAAATTAGAGCATTCTGTTGGACACCGTGTCAACAGAGTTGTTAATTAATTGTGTGTAACAGATCATGATTTACACACCGTTACATACTCACAGACATTGTGTCTTTTATGACAGACCGGCGACTTCATGAACAAAATAATTCATTCTAGCGCTTCATTCATGCTTCTCATGTGTCATGGTTTAATGTTGATACTTAAAGTAATCTAGATCAGCTGTCACATATTCTGATCTGCTCACCCTTTCCCCTACAAATATCCACTTTAATTTCTTTTCAAGGAAGACTGAATAATGGAAGGCGGCGCCCCCACCTGGCCATCTGGATCTCTCTGGAGCACCACTCGCTCTGCAGGTAGCGCTGGCTGATCACACAGATGGTCTTCCTGCTGCCATAGATGGCGTCTGTGATGTTGTCCATGATGGGCTTCCCTGTGGAGACAGCAGTTTACACGTCTGTAGCCACCAACTGAACATTTTTTCTGAGACATCTGTTAGCCATTTGCCTTTTCAATAGCTAGTTAGCTGATGCTAAGGCTAGCGTCTCTTCTGACAGCCAGAAGTGATGCAAGATGGCGTGCTGACGTCACACGTTGCTGTAAGCGCTGTCCTAGAAGGCTGTTCGAAAACCAATGTTCACAGAGATGCCTTCACTCGAAAGTTCTGCTTTCTGAGGCAACTGTCCATTATGGTAGAGAGGCAACTGCCTTCTGTTTCAAACACCGCCTAAGTCAGTGCAGCTGATTCTGTGCTGCTCTCAGATCTGTTTGTCCTGTAGATCAACTTATTTAATATCATGCTGCTGAGTCCTGATTTAGTCTTCCCTCCTCTTTGTGTCTTTGTTTGGGGAAATAACCTCTTTAAATGTGACTGTGGCTCCTTTTCACCTTAATAATAATTTATTTAATTTTAATTCAGTGATAAACTCCTGGACTTTAATAGCTCCTGTGTTTCAGCAGATTTTCTGCTCATGTTCAAAACTTTCTGCACATTCAGAATCTCTCCCACAGGTCTGTGTTCTCTGAGATGTCCAGAAAAAAGTCAGAATATTACCAGACTAACGTCATCATTTACTGAGAAGTCTACCTGTCCTTTACTCTGCTGTGGATTACGTTATTGATCCGCTGGTGGTAACATTATCCCTTCAGAGCGTTTGACTGACGCAGTTTGGGACTGCATGTTGCAAGTGAAACTGAAACTAACCGACAACACTTGTGATCAGGCAGAAATCACTCCACAAATCCACACGTTGACTTCAGCAACTCTGATAACGTGCAGCTCACAGTCCCAAACAGAACAAGGTTGTGTTTCTACCAGCTATGTTACCACTCGTCACAGCTGTCTGGACTCACAGAGCGAGTGGGTTCAGTTGATTACTATCAGGGCGTACGCCGGTGTCAATCAGCTGGGCGGAGTTGATTTGCTCTGCGAGTCTTATCAGTTATACATTTGGATTTCACTGCGTAAGAAAACGAATGTGTTTTGACAGTTTATGAAAAATATATATTGCGCGAGACTCGCGAGACAGCTTTATTCCTGTGGAGAAATCTTGTCACAATGTAATCTCGCGTGATCTCGTGGCACGAGATTTCGTCACATCTCTACTAAATACCCAAACCTTGCTGATCCGATCCCTGTTGTCTTCTGCCTTACGGCTTCAGCTACAGAACCTCGACTAACAGTAAAACTGGTACCAGGGGTCTTAAAGAGGAGGATGTGGACTTCTGCATTATCAAAGTGGCCCAGCGATGCATCTCTCTGGCTTTTGTATAATGGGCTGCTCAAGTGGCTCACAGAGCGACTGGTCTGACTCTGATCTGCCCTGACTGTCACTGAGAAGAAGATTCTGTTTTCATGCTGCTGTTTATTTGGTTGTACTGACGAGTGATTGATGTCCCATCACTGTTCCAGTTGCTTATCCTCAAACCGGAGAGAGCACAGACCACTATTGGTCTGGTTCAGTGGAGCGGAGCGCTCCACAGGAGAATGCAAGATGTACATAACGGACACACTGCAGTGGGGTTTGTCCTTACAACAGGTTGAGGCAGAGTTCACTACAGCTTCTCCAAACCTCAGACAGAGATTGATTTTTAAGGTTGATACTGACTGCTGCTGTCTAAAGTACCATTTTAAATTGGGAAGTACTATGCAAGTAAAATCTACACCACAAGCCACCCCAAAACAAATGAAGCATGTTTGATGAAGCCAGTAGGCCACCAGGCACGTGTCAGTGAATCTGTCACAGTGAGCTGAAAAAAAGAAACGTGAAACCCCTCAGTGGGAAGCAAAGACTGTAAAGATAACAGTGTACTGTATCTGCTCTGCATTCACAACATCTGGCAGGAAAAGATAAGAGGATGATGAAGGGAGGACCAACAAGAGAAATCTACAGCAATAACAACAACAACAATAATACCAAAAGTAGTTTTAAACAATTACCCCCAAATATTGAACGTGGTTTCAAAGCACCATACGGTACCGGTTCTGGTGGTCATCTAAAAGAACCATTAAGTTAGCTGCGCAGCTAAATGAGATAACTAAATGTAAAAAGAAACAAATGGAGTAAAACCAAAAACAAATGGAGTAAAAGTAAACAGTATAAAGGTGAATAAAATGAAAATACTCAAAGTATGAGTCCCTCTAAAATGTTCTTATGTTCAGTCCTTGAGTAAATGTATATTTAGGTAAGTGTTGACATTTCAGTATTTAACCAAGACCAGCATTTTTTTCCAATCTTAACCAAATGCTGTGACAGCCTAAACAGGACCATAAAAGAAGATCATCATTCTTTAGTTTACATTGAATATCAATGTTTCGCAACTTACGAAATAAATTCATTAAAAGCTTTTTATCGCGTTGATGAAACACTATCTCCTACATTTCGAACTAAATATTTGCTGTCACAAATTCGTACTTAATAAAAGAAATCTCTAGGGCTGAACCCCAACCTCCTCCTGAACGGTGTTTTCAGCGTTCTTTATAGAAGATGGAAATTTCAGTATTGTGACAACACAAGTGCAGATTCAACCGTTCTGGCCACATTTAAAGCTGCTGGTGCTGTGTGATACATCAGTTCCAGATTGCAGGCTGGAAGGGAATAATAGAGATTCAGAATCAATCAGAACTTGATCCATTCGGTCGATAACATTTGGAAAGTCTGAAAGAGTCGCACAATTTTCCAAGATGGCGCTGAGTATAGCTGCCTCAGTGTTCAGTGCGCTTTGTTTTGTTTTTCTGTTAATTCAGTTTTCGGCTGTGATTCCCAGAGCTCTTTCACCAGGGAGGAGCTCATGAACATCACGGGAACAACTCCAGCAGATTTAATTCCCACTCTTCTTACGTCATCAGTGGAATTATTGGACATTTAATGATGGCCTCGCTCGCTGTCGTTTGTGCTGTGAAGCGCCGCAGGAGAGGCAAAAGAGCCGGGTCGCTCGTGCGTTTTCTATCGGCGCGGACTCCGCACACTGCTACCGGCAATACTTCTCTCCAGCGTGCGCTCACTGTGCAACAAACTGGACGAACTTCAGCTTCTGGTGGGGAAAAACAGAGACTTTTATTCATCTTCTGTTCTGTGCTTCACGGAGACCTGGCTATCTGAACTGATACTGGACTCTGCACTGCAGCTGGCTGGTTTCCAACTGTACAGAGCGACCGCGACACAGAACTCCCCGGCAAAACAAAAGGTGGAGGTGTCTGTTTTTATATTAACAATGGCTGGTGTACCGACATGACAGTGATTCAGCAGCTCTGTTCTCCTAATCTGGAATATTTTATCATTAACTGTAAACTGTTTTACTCCCCCCGTGAGTTTGCTTCATTCACTCTGGTCGGTGTTTACATCTCACTGCACGCCAACGTTCAGGACGCACAGAGCATGCTGGCCGACCGGATACTATATGTGGAGCAGACAAACCCGGACTCCCTTGTTATTGTTCTCAGTAACTTTAACTGGGGGAATCTCAGCCAAGAACTCCCCAAATACAGACAGTTTATAAAGTGTCCAGCCAGAGAGGGGAATACTTTGGATCACTGCTACACCACAGTTAGCAGTGCCTATCACGCCGTCACAAACGCTCCACTGGGACACTGATCACATGATGGTCCATCTGATTCCTGCTTACAGGCAAAAACTAAAGCTCTGTAAACCTGTAGTGAGGACATCAAAGAAGTGGACTAGTGAAGCTGTTGAGGACCTCTGGCATGTTTGGACTGCACTGACTGGGATGTTTTCAAGAAGGCTACCAACAATCTGGATGAGTTTACAGAGGCTGTTACGTCGTACATCAGCTTCTGTGAGGACAGCTGCATTCCAACACGGACCAGGGTGAGTTATAACAATGACAAACCCTGGTTTATAGCCAATCTCAGACAGCTGAGGTTGGAAAAGGAGGAGGCATTTAGGAGTGGTGACAGGGCCGGGTGTATAAACTATAAACACAAAGTCCCCCACTCCATAAACGATTCTCGCCTGGCAAATGAGCTGAACCAGTTCTATTGCCGCTTTGAGATTCAGACACCATCCCCGTGACTCCTCCGCTCAGCTTCAGACTCAGTCCACCACTTCTTCCCCTCACTCCTCAGAGATGGCCAGCTCCACCCCCTCCCCTCCTCTCTCCATCACAGAGGGGGAAGTCAACGGTCTTTTCAAGAGGCAGAAACCCCACAAAGCAGCTGGGCCATACTCTGTCTCCCCATCCCCCCTGAAGCACTGTGCTGATCAGCTGTCTCCGGGGTTCACAGACATTTTTAACACCTCACTGGAGACATGCCATGTAATATTTTGCACGTTATTGTCACCTGCCCAGGGACTGCAGATGGGAATGACCTTTTAGCTCAGTACAGTACATATATTGTGCATTGTCCCTGTTAACTAAATAAATGAAATGTGCCAGCCTGCTTCAAAGCCTCCACCATCATCCCTGTCCCCAAGAAACCAAGGACCACAAGACAATAATGTGGTTATGTCCTAAATCCTTTGAACGCCTTGTGTTGTCCCACCTAAAATCAACTACAGATCCACTCCTGGACCCCCTGTAGTTCGCCCACTGAACCAACAGGTCTGTAGATAATGCAGTTAACATGGCCCTTCACTACATCCTCCAGCACCTGGACTCCCCAGGAACCAACGCCAGGATCCTGTTTGTGGATTTCAGCTCTGCTTTTAACACCATCATCCCGGCCCTGCTGCAGGACAAGCTCTCTCAGCTGAACGTGCCTGATCCACCTGCAGGTGGATCACTGACTTCCTGACGGACAGGAAGCAGCACGTGAAGCTGGGAAAACATGTCTCTGACTCCAGGACCCTCAGCACCGGTCCCCCTCAAAGATGCGTTCTTTCCCCCCATCTCTTCTCTATATACACCAACAGCTGCACCTCCAGTCACCAGTCTGTCAAGCTCCTGAAGTTTACAGATGACACCACCCTCATTGGGCTCATCTCAGGTGGGAGTTCAGCCATCTGGTGACCTGGTGCAGCCAGAACAGTCTGGAGCTCAACGCTCTGAACTTCAGAAAGAGCACAGCCCCACCCTCCCCCATCATCCTGTGTGACTCCCCAGTCACCACTGTGGAGTCCTTCCGCTTCCTGGGCTGAACATCACCTCCCTCACCAAGAAGGCCCAGCAGAGGATCTACTTCCTGCAGCAGCTGAAGAAGTTCAGCCTGCCAAAGACAATGATGGTGCACTTCTACACCGCCATCATTGAGCCCATCCTCACCTCCTCCAACACCATCTGGTACGGTGCTGCCACTGCCAGGGACAAATTGGCTGCAATCTTACTTCTCTTTTCCGGACCTGTACACCTCGAGGACTCTGACTGTATGTTTGTCTACGTGTAGCACCTTATCAACACAGCAAATTCTTCATATTTGTAAAACACTACTTGGCAATAAAGCTCCTTCTGATTCTGACGATTATCATTATCATCACGTTAGCAGAGAGCTAAACCAGAAGCTATCCACAGAAGTCAACACAAATGGAACATACAGCACCACTGCAAGCTAGCGTTTTGGTGGTGTTATTGCACAGCAACACAGACCCCAACGCACAACTACAAATGCCCACAATGCTGTAGCTACGTGCGTAGCTTACGCTCTAGGCTATGGTGAAGATTGGATGTAGAAGTATAAATCAGGCTTTAGAAACTGAGTAGGGATAAGAGTTAAGGTAACCCAGAACACTCATAAAGCTGTTCCACAGAGATTACAAACAAATTAAGAACACAATGTTAATTTTCTCTTGAAGAAAACCTTACTTTAATACTTAAGGGCCTAGAGCTGGGCCATATGAAATTCATAACCCTATATAGGTCATTTTTGTAAATTCAATTAAGTATCTACTGCATCATAAAAGGTGCGTATACGATTCTGTAGAAATCCAATACCATGAAAAATACCATGATCTAGAGTGAACAGCGGCACCGCAAGTAATGTAACGGTTGTAGGTTAGCAAACTGCTGCTTCTTGCCGCTGCAAAGCTAACATTAGAGGATGAGACGGCGCCAGAGCAGCTCCAGACAGCGACACTCTCCCACTGCTACAGCTAACATCACAACAACAGCATGTCTTGAACTAGAAAGTAAGCTGGACACCTTCCCAAAAGATCCACACCATGGGGGAAACCAAACTGTGAGTTTGATTCAACTAAACTTGACAAGACAGGTGTGAATACACACTAAATCATGGCCTGAATCTAGGATTTTCTTCAGCATAACAATGAGTTCAACATTCTAAAGGTTTGCTGTAGCTCAACCATTTATTAATGTCCCACTCCATCCATGTTGTGATTGGTCAGTTCTTAAAAAGTGACATTGACAAGGGCATCTGCTTTATCAGAAGTTGAACATGTTTCAGCAAAAAGGCAATTCATAAAATTCTGGAGCGACGGGCTGCCGCTGCTAAATGTACAGAACTGAAACAATGCAGTGGTTTTTTTCCTCACAGCAGGTTGAGGCAGAGTTCACTGCAGCTTCTATAAACCTTCGATAGAGATTGATTTTTTTTAAGGTTGATACTGACTCATGTTTGACACAAGGCCGCTGATGTCTAAAGTACCATTTTATCTGAGAAGTACTATGCAAAAATAATTCTGTTCTACACCACAAACTGCTCCAAAACCAATGAAGCATGTTTGATGAAGCCAGTAGGCTACCAGGCACGTGTAAGTGAATCTATCACAGAGAGCTGAAATAAAGAGATGTGAAACCCCTCAGTGCGATGCAAAGACTGTAAAAATAACTGTACTGTATCTGCTCTGCATTCACAACATCTCTGACAGAAAAAATATAAGAGAAAGAGGAAGAGAGGACGACAAGACAAACCAAAAAAAATTGCTAAAAGCTGTTTCAAGCAATTACCCCCGAATATTTAAAGTGACCTCGATGCAGTACACCGTACAGTACCGGTTCTTGTGGTTGTGGTGTCCGAACAATAATGCTGCGATGATGTGTTGAGAGGAAACCCGCTTGACACTTGATCATAAAAGTTTATTAAATCAAGGAGTTCAGCATCAATTACAAGCTCTGCAGCAGCTTGGAGAGTGACCCAGCCCGATGGCCACTCTGTCTCTCTGTACATCAAACACAGCTTATATAGGACATGTTTAGGTATCTGTTAGGTACCAGAGAAGGGTTTGAGTCTGCAAAATAAAGCTCCAACCCATAGAAGGGTACAGTACTATTCTGAGATAACAAAACAAGGGGTTAGAGGTCAAATTCTATAGAAGGGTTCAGTCCCTACATAACCACCAATCACTGCTCTCCCTGTAGAAGGTCACTGACCCTCTGTCCTGCTGCTACAGTGCTATTTTGAACTGTTATGAGTCAAATGCACGCCACATATTCCCCCCTGCGAGTCTTGATTGAGTCTTGAAAAACAAAAAGAGAACAATTTCTCCAACACATGATTCTTGCAGTATTATTTTTAACAATATATCAACTTTATGGAGTGTGAGAACGAAAAACCTGTCCGGCAGCCTTCATTCCAAAATGCCCTTCAAGACAAGGAGTTCAGCATCAATTACAAGCTCTGCAGCAGCTTGGAGAGTCACTGACCCTCTGTCCTGCTGCTACAGTGCTATTTTGAACTGTTATGAGTCAAATGCACATATATTGGACACCACATGGTCAACTAAAAGAACCATTAAGTTGGCTGCACAGTTAACTGAGCAAAGTAGCTAACGGTAGTTAGCAGCAGTTAAGACCTGATCTGTGATAATGCACCTCTTATTTTTGAAGTAGTATGAATTCAGCAGGTGGAGAGTAGTCTCAAGTCTTACCCATTGTACCTTTATCTCAAACAAAAGATTGTATTTTCTAAGCTTAGGCCACAGTCCAAATCTGTCGAGGATGTGTGATGAATGATGAAGACAGACAGAGGAAGTGTTTACCTGGTTGGAAGTCTCTGTGGTGCAGACAGAGCCTCCAGCCCTGCTCTCCTTCCAGCACTGGAAGCATCTCTCTGTAAACCCAGGCCTCGTCGTGAACGTTGTAGGAGATGAAGGCGTCGTATTGGTGAGGAGCTCCGTTCTTCTTCTTCTTCCTGCTATCATAGAGGAAGGCCAGGAAGAGGTAGTATGCGTAGGCTAGCTGCCACCTCAGAAAGTGGAAGACGAAGGCAGCGAGAAGAGTTAGCAAAGTCAGACAAGTGCTGCAAATGAAGCAGAGGAAGCCGACGTCCATCCAACAGGACTGGATGTCAAAGTCCAGCAACTTGTTTCCTTGCTCCACCACAGGAAAGGAACAGGTGTACATATGGGCGTTAACAACCTGAGTTTGGTTGTTGTTCTTCACCCATTGGATAAAGCCGGCATTAGAGCAGTCACAGGTGAAAGGATTATTGTCCAGGTCCAGATATGTGAGTGCAGGGAGAGACTGGAAGACCGTCTCACTGATCACTGTAATCTTACTGTTACTCAGTTTTAAAAATGTGAGTGCAGACAGGTCGGCCTGGGCCAGAAAATCCAAAGATTTGAGCTTACTGTAAGAGAGATCGAGAGCCTGCAGGTTTGGGATTGGCTGAAACAGTTCAGGACCCAAATCTGACAAATCATTCTGACTGAGTGTCAGACGCTTGAGCTGGGGATTGTTTCTAAATGTGTCGGGATCTGGAGCAGAAATATATAAATTCTCAGCTGTGAAGTCCTCTAAATGTTTCATAGTCTGTAGAATTTGCATTGGTATATCAAGGGGGAAGCCAGATTGATCACTAATGCATAGCATTGTGAAAACTTTCAATGATTTTAAATGGAACATAGTTTTAAAGAAGTTTGAATGAGGACCCTTAAAGCCACCGTCAATACTGAAGTAGACCGTGAGATTTTCCAATTGTTGTAAATCTGCAAATTCATTTTCAAACTTGAGTGGAAGAGACACTGTAAGAGTTCTGAGGTTGTTCAATCCATCAAAAGCGTTACTTTTCACACTTCCAATATGTTTTGACGCCAGATCCAAATATTTTAGGGAACCTAAACCTTGAAAATCCCCATTTTCAAGAATTGATACAAAGTGTTTGTTCAAATTCAAGAACTCAAGCTTCTGCAGTCCTGTTTTGAAGGCGCCTCCAAATGTCCACAGCAAGTTGTTACTCATATCTAAAACCTTCAGATCATTAAGATTTTCAAATACGCACCCATCCAGTTTGGCAATGCGGTTATAGTCCAGATGCAGCTCTGTAAGTCGCGTTGTGTTTATGAAATCCTCACATGTCAACTCAGAGATACGATTGGCACTAAGACGTAGAACCTCGAGGGAGGAGAGACTCCTAATGTCATCTGGCACTTTGGGGAGGAAGTTGACGTCTAGAGTTAGGGACCTCAGACTCTTCATCAATCTCATCGAGCCATTTAGCAGCTCACTCGTGTAAGTGTTGGACAAGTCGAGTTCATTAAGCTGAGAGCAAGTTACAAGTTTTGAACTTACATTGGTAATATGGTTGTACAACAGGTCCAGCCTCCTTAGTGTCGATATTTTGCACACTGTAGCTAAGAGACCTTTGTTGATCCACTTCTGCATATAATTCAGCCTCAGATGCATCAGTGAGTCAAGACTCTGCAGGACTTTTTGGATCTCTTCAAAAGGAATCAAAGTGCCGCTGAAATCCAGCTGAGTTATGTTCCTTAGTAAAGTCTTGTCAGGTATGTCCCATTTCAAGCCAGCAGCTCGACCACTGTCAGAAAGGTCTATCATCTCAAGGTGAGGAAAGATCTGTGTTGTGATGCTGAACTTTTCTAACTTAGCATTATCAGAAACATTTAACACCTTCAGTCCTGAGGACATGTTCAGCAGCAGATCTTTGGTCTGAAAGGAGGTAAATAGATTTGCTCTAATGTTCAGCTCCTGTAGGTGTGGTAGCTGTAAGATGGGCTGAATGTCAGTGACTTGTTGGAGATTGTTGTCATCCAGTAACAAAGTCTGTAAGCTGGACAGGAACTGAAAGGCAGAGGAATGAATGAACTGAATGTTGTTTCCTCCGAGGTCAAGCGTGGTGAGGTTGGACAGTCCCTGAAAGATGTTGCCTGTCAGCCTGGTGAGTTTGTTTTCATTCATGTAGAGGTTTGTCAGTGCCACCAAATTAGTGAAAGATCCATCGTCTACATGAGCAATCTGATTTAACTGCAGGAATAAATTTCTCAGCTTTGACAAGTGGCCAAAATCTTGCCTGTTAATCTGTTCAAGCTGATTGATGGAGAGTTTTACTGAGCTTGCATCTCTGGGGATGTCATCAGGGACAGTAACAAGTTCACGACCTGAGCAGTCCAAAGAAACATCAGCCGAGGCGTCTTCAGAATAACTGATGACGCAGCCTTTCAGTGAATAAGCCAGTGAAGAGTTAAGATGAAGCAGGAGACACAAAAGCAAGAGAAGACGTCTCTGTATTAAGTATGCTGACATGCTGATCTTTAGGACCACGGCTGGTTTGATTGTTGAGTTACTGTCAGGTGGAGATTTGTTGCTGTTCATGTTGTTCAGGGGTGAACATCTGGAGAGGACAACACAACATGTTGCACAACATGACTTCATCCCTTAAACCAATAGCTTTACATTGTGGGAAATGAGCTTGATTGACACCATACTCATGTCTTTGGTTAAATATCAAGCCACATGCAAGAAACCGTTAGCTTAGCTTAGCTTTTATTATTGATTAATCTTCTCATTACTTTTATGAATTGTTTGAACCTTGAAATGTCGGAAAATAAAATACGACAATTTTCTAAGTACAAGTTTCTTGATTCTAGTGCATCCTAGAAGAATCCTAAAACAAGACAAACTGTATTTGAAACAAGAAGAAATACTGTATGTCACCATATTACCAGATATTTCCCTAAGCCATGTCTAAACTGAGAGTTACTAAATTATTAAAATAATATATTTTTTTGAGGGGATGGTGGCGATAAAGAAATTAACATAATAGTTTTACACAAATACCGAAGGTAAAAAAACACACCAATATTTTTTTGTAATACTCACAGTTCATCTTTAAAGCATCAACTCTCAGCCGTCACAGCTCAGAACTGAAACGGAGGCTTCGTCTCAGTTCTCATATTTCCACAACAACAGCAGAGGTGGTCAGGTCAAGGTTAAGACTAACGTCTGACAGGAATAATTTAAATTCCTTTTATTACTGAATTATTGCTTCAATCTCAAAAGATTTTTTCTGAAACTGATATGCTACAGCAAGTGCCCAGTAAGCTGTTAACAGATATCTGCTTCTGTGTTTGTCACAGCAAAGTGATGTTGACAGATAGACACAGCGTAAATGAGCTATTCTTAGTCTGATTTAAATACTGACAGGAAGCATATAGACATGAGTTTAAGGCTGAAATAACACTGAGTGAGCGTAATCTGAAAGTATCAAGGTTGATGTTAACAAAGGCTCGGTGGGTATCAAATACAGTTGCAGTACACAATTTTTAAAGCAGGTTTGAATAAAATACTGTAAATTAAGATCACTTTCAAATATAGGCATTTTATAAATTAACTTCACCTATTAACAAAATACAACGGGGTGTAGTCACAAAAGTGAGTACACCCCTCACATTTTTGTAAATATCTGATTATACCTTTTCATGTGACAACACTGAAGAAATGACACTTTGCTACAATGTAAAGTAGTGAGTGTACAGCTTGTATAACCGAGTAAATCTGCTGTCCCCTCATGTCTAAACTGCTGGCAACAAAAGTGAGTACGCCCCTCAGTGAAAATGTCCACATTGGGCCTTAAATTCACGCTGGATAATTAATTAAGTATAGTATGACATTTATTTATCATCATTTCTAAAGGAATTGTGTAAGAAAGTATTGTGAACAAGCATTGGTTACACATAAGATGAAGGAGTGTCCTTAATCTTGTTGAAAATCAAAACACTGTAAAAGTAACTTATTGAGATTCTTTTCAGCACTAATATCAACAACATGGTAACATAACTACTCAAATAGAGGCACACATAATCAAGTAACTAAAAGATTTAATTAAACAGTTAATGCTTTGAGTCTTTGGAGACAGCAGTCTTTGTTTATTTAAAGTTCGGCTGTCCTGGATTATGTGACACTTAGGCATAAAAGGGGGTATCCCTTTGATAAGGTAATGAAACACAGAACAAGGTCAGTTGCCACGTTTACATATGTGTGGGGGGGGGGCAGTTGAGGTTTTCCTGCCCCCCTCCAAGGACAGTTCCGATAGGCTGTTCAGGGAAATGCTAATCGCTGGTTAATGTCCCTTTTGTCAGTTTAACAGTCAGGCACTGCGTTATCAGGCTGTCGGAATCAAAAGTGCCAGTTTTACGATCAACTGCTCAGGAATAGCACTTAGAGAAAGTGACCTCCACCCCCATTCTGTTGGGGTCCCTTCAGCAGTCTGTTGAAAGTTGATCTTTAACCCCCCTGCTCTCAGGGAGAGGGGAATAATTTTGAGTAGTTCAAATTTATTTAATATAAATGCACAAATCCACACTGTTGTCTCACTACACTACTAAACTTACTAAATTAGAGTTACTGAATTATTAAAATGATTTAAAAAACTGAGGGGTGGGGGATGTTGAAGAAAAGTCAAATTTTAACATTTACCAAAACACATTTTTCTAATAAGCTACTCTCAGTTCATCTTTAGAGCGTCGCCTCTCAGCTGTCAGAGCTTACGAATGAAAACGGAGGCTTTGTTTCAGTTCTTATATTTCCACAACAGCAGCAGAGGAGGTGAGGTGAAGGTTAATACTCACATCTGACAGAATCATTTCCTTTTATTAATGAATTGTTCCTTCAATCTTAAAAGAACGATGACAAGCATTTGCAAAAGGAAGAGAACAGATTTTTTGGAACTGAAACGCTACAGCAAGTGTCCAGCGAGCTGATAACAGATTCTGTGTTTGTCACAGCAGGGATGACCACATACCCACAGTGTAAATAAACTATTCTTAGTCTGATTTAAATACTGACAGGAAGCTGATAGACACGTGTTTAAAGCTGATTTAACACTGACTGAGCGTAATCTGTAAAGTATCATGGTTGCAGCACACTTTAGGCAGGTGTGGAAAAAATGCTGTCAGGCAAGAATGCTTTCAAAATTAGACATTTTAAAAGATTATATTTAACAATTAACAAAATACGAAATGAGTGAACAGATGAAAAATAAATCAATTCAACAGGCTGAAACACAATCATTAACTGAAACAGAAACAGCTGTGTGGGAGGAATATAACTTGGTGACGAACAGCCAAACTCAGCCAACAAGGTGAGGCTGCTGAAGACAGTTTACTGTAGGAAGTCATCCACCGTGGCAAGACTGAGCACAGCAACAAGACACTTGATGGTTAGTCTCCAATTTGTTAATGGCAGGTACGAACTTGTCAGTGGTCATAACCGTTCATGCATAACAATGAGTTCAACATTCTAAAAGTTTGCTGAAGCACATTATCCATTTATTAATGGTTAATTGTTCCTCACAGCAGGTTGAGGCAGAGTTCACTACAGCTTCTACAACCCTTTGATAGGGATTGATTTTTTTAAGGTTGATACTGACTCTCATGTTGGGCACAAGGCTGCTGATGTCTAAAGTACCATTTTATCTGAGAAGTACTATGCAAGTAAAAATAATTCTGGTCTACACCACAAGCTGCTCCAAAACCATGAAGCATGTTTGATGAAGACAGTACGTCACCAGGCACGTGTAAGTGAATCTATCACAGAGAGCTGAAATAAAGAGATGTGAAACCCCTCAGTGCGATGCAAAGACTGTAAAAATAACTGTACTGTATCTGCTCTGCATTCACAACATCTCTGACAGAAAAAATATAAGAGAAAGAGGAAGAGAGGACGACAAGACAAACCAAAAAAAATTGCTAAAAGCTGTTTCAAGCAATTACCCCCGAATATTTAAAGTGACCTCAATGCAGTACCCCATAGAGTACCGGTTCTTGTGGTCAACTAAAAGAACGTTAACTGCACAGCTAACTGAGCAAACTAGCTATCGCAGAAGTTATGACCTGATATGTGACATGCTGCTGCCTATTTTTTAAGTAGTATGAATTCAGTAGGTGGAGAGTAGTCTCAAGTCTTACCCATTGTACCTTTATATCAAACAAAACATTGTATTTTCTAAGCTTAGGCCACAGTCCAAATCTGTCGAGGATGTGTGATGAATGATGAAGACAGACAGAGGAAGTGTTTACCTGGTTGGAAGTCTCTGTGGTGCAGGCAGAGCCTCCAGCCCTGCTCTCCTTCCAGCACTGGAAGCATCTCTCTGTAAACCCAGGCCTCGTCGTGAACGTTGTAGGAGATGAAGGCGTCGTATTGGTGAGGAGCTCTGTTCTTCTTCTTCTTCCTGCTATCATAGAGGAAGGCCAGGAAGAGGTAGTATGCGTAGGCTAGCTGCCACCTCAGAAAGTGGAAGACGAAGGCAGCAAGAAGAGTTAGCAAAGTCAGACAAGTGCTGCAAATGAAGCAGAGGAAGCCGACGTCCATCCAACAGGACTGGATGTCAAAGTCCAGCAACTTGTTTCCTTGCTCCACCACAGGAAAGGAACAGGTGTACATATGGGCGTTAACAACCTGAGTTTGGTTGTTGTTCTTCACCCATTGGATAAAGCCGGCATTAGAGCAGTCACAGGTGAAAGGATTATTGTCCAGGTCCAGATATGTGAGTGCAGGGAGAGACTGGAAGACCGTCTCGTTGATCACTGTAATGTCATTGTCACTCAGTTTTAAAAATGTGAGTGCAGACAGGTCAGCCTGGGCCAGAAAATCCAAAGATTTGAGTTTACTGTAAGAGAGATCGAGAGCCTGCAGGTTTGGGATTGGCTGAAACAGTTCAGGATCCAAATCTGACAAATCATTCTGACTGAGTGTCAGACGCTTGAGCTGGGGATTGTTTCTAAATGTGTCGGGATCTGGAGCAGAAATATATAAATTCTCAGCTGTGAAGTCCTTTAAATGTTTCATAGTTTGTAGAATATCCATCGGTATGTCAAAGGGGAAGCCATAGTGATCAACTCTGCATATTACAGTAAAAATCTTCAAAGATTTTAACTGGAACAAATCTTCATAGAAGTTTGAATGAGGACTTTTAAAACTTCCGTCAGTATCGAAGTAGACTGTGAGATTTTCTAACTGTTGTAAACTTCTGAATTTATTTTCAAACTCAAGTGGAAGAGACACTGTAAGAGTTCTGAGATTGTTTAGTCCTTGAAAAGCGTTACTTTTCACTCTTGCGATATGTTTTGATGCCAGATCCAAATATTTTAGGGAACCTAAACCTTGAAAATCCCCATTTTCAAGAATTGATACAAAGTGTTTGTTCAAATTCAAGAACTCAAGCTTCTGCAGTCCTGTTTTGAAGGCGCCTCCAAATGTCCACAGCAAGTTGTTACTCATATCTAAAACCTTCAGATCATTAAGATTTTCAAATACACACCTGTCCAGTTTGGCAATGTGGTTATAGTCCAGATGCAGCTCTGTAAGTCGCGTTGTGTTTATGAAATCCTCACATGTCAACTCAGAGATACGATTGTCTCTAAGATATAGAACCTCGAGGGAGGAGAGACTCCTAATGTCATCTGGCACACTGGTGAGAAAGTTGTTGGCTAGAGTTAGGGACCTCAGACTCTTCATGAATCTCATCGAGCCTTTAGGCAGTTCAGTCATGTATGTATCGGTCAAGTCGAGCTCATTAAGCTGAGAGCAAGTTACAAGTTTTGAACTTAATTTGGGAACACTGTTGTAAGACACATCCAGCCTCCTTAGTGTCAGTATTTTGCACACTGTAGCTAAGAGACCTTTCTGGATAGACGTCTCCATATAATTCAGCCTCAGATGCATCAGTGAGTCAAGACTCTGCAGGACTTTTTGGATTTCTTCAAAAGGAATCAAAGTGCCGCTGAAATCCAGCTGAGTTATGTTCCTTAGTAAAGTCTTGTCAGGTATGTCCCATTTCAAGCCAGCAGCTCGACCACTTCCAGAAAGGTCTATCATCTCAAGGTGAGGAAAGATCTGTGTTGTGATGCTGAAGTTTTCTAACTTAGCATTATCAGAAACATTTAACACCTTCAGTCCTGAGGACATGTTCAGCAGCAGATCTTTGGTCTGAAAGGAGGTAAATAGATTTCCTCCAATGTTCAGCTCCTGTAGGTGTGGTAGCTGTAAGATGGGCTGAATGTCAGTGACTTGTTGGAGCTTGTTGTTTTCTAGAATCACAGTCTGTAAACTGGACAGGAACTGGAAGGCCGAGGAATGAATGAACTGAATGTGGTTTCCTCCGAGGTCAAGCGTGGTGAGGTTGGACAGTCCCTGAAAGATGTTGTCTGTCAGCCTGGTGAGTTTGTTTTCATTCATGTAGAGGTTTGTCAGTGCCACCAAATTAGTGAAAGATCCATCGTCTACATGAGCAATCTGATTTGAGTCTAGGGACAAATTTCTCAGCTTTGACAAGTGGCCAAAATCTTGCCTGTTAATCTGTTCAAGCTGATTGGCTAAAAGTAGTACTGAGCTTGCATCTCTGGGGATGTCATCAGGGACAGTAACAAGTTCACGATCTGAGCAATCCAAAGAAACATCAGCCGAGGCGTCTTCAGAATAACTGATGACGCAGCCTTTCAGTGAATAAGCCAGTGAAGAGTTAAGATGAAGCAGGAGACACAAAAGCAAGAGAAGACGTCTCTGTATTAAGTATGCTGACATGCTGATCTTTAGGACCACGGCTGGTTTGATTGTTGAGTTACTGTCAGGTGGAGATTTGTTGCTGTTAATGTTGTTCAGGGGTGAACATCTGGAGAGGACAACACAACACGTTGCACAACATGACTTCATCCCTTAAACCAATAGCTTTACAGTTTGTCATGTCTGTGTTGAAAAAATGTATCTACATCTAAGACAGTTAGCTTTGGTCCCCTAAATGTCACTTATTAACACATCTTGTTTATGGCTGTAAATGATCATCTTCATTGTCAATTTATCTTACAATTTGTTTTTGATGGTTTCAACGTTGTCAATAAATTTAATGTGCCATACCTTGTTAAGTACAACTTTCTTGATTCTACTGCATACTAGAAAATTGCTGAAACAAGACAATCTGTATTGAAACGAGAAGAAGAACGAGAGTTTGTCACCATAGCACCAGATCTTTCCCCTAAACCTGGTCTTTACTAAGTTTTGAAATCTTAAACTGAGAGTATAAAAATGTAATGTTTTGAGAGGGTGGGGAAATTTTTGTTAAAGAAATTTAACTCATATTTTACACAAACACAGTGACATAAGTTAAATAACACAGATAAACAGATTTTTTCTAATACTCACAGTTCATCTTTAGAGCATCCCCTCTAAGCTGTCAGAGCTTACCACTGAACATGGAGGCTTCGTTTAAATTCTGATGCTTATACGACCGCAGCAGAGGAGGTGGGGTGAAGGTTAACACGCACACACGCACACACACACACCTAACAGCAGTACGTTAACTTCCTTCTGTATTTGAATTTTCGTAATTAGATTTCCTCAATCTCAAAAAGACAATGACAGCCTTCTGTAACAAGGGAAGAGAAGCTGTGCTGGTGACAGATTTCTGCTTCTGTTTGTCACAGCCAACTGTTGCTGACAAATAAACATGGCGTTGATGGTGAAAATGTACTTCTTTGACCTTCTCTGTTCATGTTAAACTCTTCGTATTGTTTGGGTATCGAGAAAAGAGTTCGGGGAAAATAGGAACCTGTGGTTGTGGGCTACTGTTTCCACCCTATAAGGTTGGTGCCCCGAGGTGAATTTTATGCAAGGTAAAGTATGTTAGTCAATGTATACATAAATCATTTATGTTGTCCACATCTTATGTCTCTTTTCCTAGTAAAAATGAACCAGTTGGAGACAAAGAAAAATAAACTGAAGTCCTTTTCGGTTAGGGCATCTGGGGCACACACACACACACACACACACACACACACACACACACACACACACACACACACACACACACACACACACACACACACACACACACACACACACACACACACACACACACACAACTGATAAGCCTCGGTTTCATTAGTTTAATTTGTTCATTGTCATGCTTTTTTTCACAGCGGGTTGGGTGTTAGATCAGATGAAAGCTCCCATCATTTGCGACCAACACATCACTACAATTAATGAATTTACATTATATTTTTTATATATTGTATTTTTGTCACCATATTTTTGGTGAGTTATGTCATGGGTAGTAGAGTGCAGCAGCAGGAAAAAGAGAAGTGGGCCCAAATGCAGACAGAGGTGAGGGAATTGCAGTCCAACCAGGATTTATTAAACTTGTAAAGGGGAGCTCAGTGGCAACTGTCCAAACAAAAGTAACTCCAAACAAAAACATAATCCACAGGGGGAAAAAAAGGAACAAGGTACAAACCAGGGATACATCTAGAAGTGCAGATACAGGACAGAACAGCCAACACAGACGATGACATCACAAACACAACTGAGGACAATATACACACAGGCAAACCAGCAGGGAGGGAAGCACAGCTGAAACACATCAGGTAATCAACAACAGGAACAAAGGTAGACAAGGACACATGAGAACAGAACACTACAAAATATAACAGCATGTTAAGCATATGGAAACATACAAGGACAGAGTAACCAAAGTAAAACAGAAAAACGTGAAACAACTGCATAGCAGAACAAAACCAGGGCAGGGAACAGAGTGAGGACCAAACGGGGAATAGGAATACACTAACATGGAGACATAAGACTAAGAACTAAGACACACACCAAAAGAAAACACAGAAGTACACAGACCACGAAAAACACTAAACATGAACAAAGGCATAAGACTAAGAACTAAGGCAAAGGACTAAAACACAGGACTAAGAACTAAAATAAAAGACAAGACAAATACTAAGAACTTAAACATGCAAATGATCAAAATAAAGCTCACAGAACACAAACCCAAACCTATGAAAAACAGACTAAACAGAAAATCATGAACACAAAACCTTTCCTAACAAGTTATTAATTATTATGACGTATTTTGGTTTACTTTAAGACAATCATGCAAAACATTGTTACTGCCTTGAAGTGGTCTTACAGCTATAGTAACATGTTACTGTTAAATTAATATCACTGTTAAAAATAATTTACCCAATAAGAGTTTTCTATATGAATATACACACAGAAATTAATTACAAAGTATTTCTATTGCCACTTTGCCCACATTATCAGCTCTTGTTTAAGGAAGAAATGAAACCGCAAATCTCAAATCACTTTGGCCAGATGTGAAGGTGTCTTTATTTGCATTGGATGGTAATATGAGAGTACAGCTACACACAAACCCATTACAACATTTCTCTATAGAAAAGCCGTGAATGCTGTTGGATGCATCCATTTGACAGGAATTATCAGGAAAGACTCCATAAACTTTCATTGTTACGCAGATGATACTCAATTATATCTATTGATCAAGCCAGATGAAACTCACCACTTAGCTAAAATGTGCCTTCAGGATGTTAAAACCTGGATCACCTGTAATTTTCTAATGTTTAACTCATAAAACTGAAGTTATTGTTCTGAGGCCCAAGCACCTCCGTGATGCATCATCTAAAGATATGGTTTCCTTGGATGGCATCGCCCTGGCCTACAGCACCACTGTGCGGAATCTCGGAGTCGAGGTTTCTGCCTTTTAAAGGAAGTTTTTCCTTGCCTCTGTCCCCTGGTGCTACTCATGGTGGGAATTGTTGGGCTTCTGTAAATAACATCACAGTGTACGGTCTAGACCTGCTCTTTTATGAAGAGCACTGTGAGATAACTGTTGTTGTGTTTTGGCGCTATATATAAAAAATTTAATTGAATCTCTGTTCTTATCGCCATCTGAGCCCCGCCACCATCAGCAGGTGATAATTACAATTTCCAGGTACCCTTTCTACTTCTCCTGTCCTTGTCATTAGAGTGAGAGTTAATAAGAAAGTTAATAATGACCATTAGTCCTCCCAAAGCTTTCATCTCTGATCTTTTCTTTTTATATCCATCTTTTTTTGCTGATTTCTAAGTGTGGGCTTGCAAATGAGACTTGGGTGGGTGTGACAGTCACCAACTGTGGGCTTCTGGGTAACGCAGTTCAAAGAGATGAGGTAGTAAAAGGAATTCAAGCCGTCTGAATGATTTAGAGAACAAAACAGGCAAACATTATAATGCCAATAGTTGTTATCCCACAATGAGACCAAGATGAGGTCCAGGCAGTCGGGATTCTCCGGATCAGAAAAGTGATGCGAATATGGAAGTGCATTGTCTCTAACGGCCAGCAAGGGGTGACACCTCTTGATTATATAGAAGTCTGAGAAAATGGGGAGGTTTAGTTACTCTCAAGTAAAGCGAAAGTGAAGCCAGTGTTGAAGAGCCTTAAACCTGCATTCTCTAGAACGGCCAGCAGGGGGCGACTCCACTGTTTGTATACATTTTACATTTACTCATTTGGCAGACGCTTTTATCCAAAACGACTTACATTATAGAAGTCTGAGAAAATGTTTCTACTTGTCAGCTGATTTATTCCCTCAGTAAACACTTTCCTGATGAGTTTATGGTCTCAGTCGCTAGTTTCAAGTCTTCTTCAACACAGCCTGATGTTCATTTAGTAAATTATGGTCCCATTTAGAGGAACAGAGACCAGAAAGTAGGGGAGGCTTTAGGGCGGGGCTACAAGCTGATTGACAAGCCGTTACCATGGCGATCTGTCAATCAGGCTAGGATGACTAATACCCACGCCAATGCGTAAATTTAACACTCCACAAGTTATTTGTACTATGTACCTTTTAAGTTTTGGAGATATGGTCTTTTTATGAGTGCAAAGGTGTTTATTTTGTGATCAGTTGCTTCCAGTGTTTGGAGTAACGCGTTGCAAAAGCAACGCAATTACAGGAATGTATTACTTTTTGCTGTAACACAGTAACATCGCACATAACTAAAAAAATAAATAAATTTGCGCTTTACAACGCGCTTAAACCTGAAATTAAGAGGTGTTTTTAATAAAACACCAACAAGAAATATTTTGGCACCAGAAGAATAAATCCATGTGAAAGACAGTAACGTTATTTCCTGTTGCAGCAATCCGATGGTCGAGATTGTAGGCAGGGTGCAAACTACAGGGGGCACTCGGCTCCTGTTAACAAGACGGTAGCTCCCCTGACGGATCATGTGTAAATAGATTTCTATAGGCTGTGTGTTTGTGCTTTAACTAAATACTTTCCTGATCAGAGAGGCTGCTGTCAGTTCACCCTGACCGATCCTTTCGGAGTGTCGGGAGATTGAAATAATGAATGATGTAATGCTGCTGTACCTCATGTGTAAATGCACACAGAGTCTTTCTTAACCCTGTTTCTTACCCACCTGATCAGAGACAGTAATATGGTAATATAATAACTAATTACTTTAAAATGACAGTAACTAGTAATCTATAATGTATTACATTTTGTAAATAACTTGCTCAACATTGGTTGCTTCCCACAATTAAGACTTCCTGATAAACATCCAATTTGTAGCTGGTTGGAAGTTAAGTATGTGTGTGTACATTGTGAGATACTTAACAACCATAGATAGGGATGAAGAGGTTACTGATTTAATGATAAACCACGGTATTTCCCAACGATTAGTATTTGTTTTTAAAATTATCATGAAAACTATGTTTGAGTACTCCTGGTAAATACTGTCTAGCATCAACCAAAGTTAGCAACAGTCTCCCAGATGCAGGTTCAACATGCACCATGGGTTTGTTTTGGGTCAGTGAAAACATGGCAGAAGACAGTGACAGCGCTCCGGAGAATTATCAGCCTGTCTAATGATTAGTCAT